AGCAAAACATGGGGTCCAGGGAGAGAAAGGGTATTTGATTAAGTTGTATTTGGTCTGGAAAGAAGTATGTGGAATTAATATTTAAGTATTTCTGTAGAACTACTAGAATGACATTGTTCCATGGAAAATTTGCAGCAATACCTCATCGTGAGCTCAAATTTAGAGGAGGTTGCATTCACAAGATCTGTAGATGTTACTGAAGAAATGATCACAAACCTCTGACTTCAAAAGTCAACTGTGAGGCACATGGAACTATTGCTGCTGATAAATATACAAGACATGACCTCCAAACTGTACTACTTTTGAGAGCTGGCGTAAAGTGTGTGTGGTCTTTGAGACACTTCTCATAAACTCTGGGCTTCAGATTTGTCATTAAATTGCAAAAGAGAGTATGAGTATAACCCTCTTTTTTCAGCTAGTGTGGAAATTAGCATTCCTGGTCTTCTTGGAGAAAGCAGTGCCCCTCATTTTATTTTAAGGTACTCTTTGGGAAAAATAAGGCACAGGGTGCAAATGGCTCCTTTTTCCCTCATGTGATTAAGCAGTGCTGCCTCAATAATCATTTTAATTCATATTGGAATCATGAAACTGTGATATAAGATTCTGAAAAGCAAATTAGGCTCAGTACAAAACAGTGTAGTTGTATAAGGTGAGAATGACCTGAAGTTCAAATTTTAGTCTTTAAAAAAAAAAAAAAAAAGTGCAAGATCTATATTCTGGTGCATATAATCTGTGTAAAAGTACTCAAGTTTAAATGCATACAGGTTAGAATAAAGCAAGCTTTACTCATACATTCTTTTATAATGGTAGAAATGATTTGGCATCCAAATTTCAACAGTTGCCTTTAGCTGTAGCCTCATTGGAGTAGGAAAGCATAAGCATTTCCCTCTGAATTGGACTTCCTTCAGAGCTGTGTGTGATCTGGCAATTTACCTGTATTTACCATTTGTCAGCAGATTCTTGGTTCTGTTTTTATGTGGATTTACTAGGAACCTTGCTTCCCTCTTGACTCCTATGGGAGATTTGGGATGGGAAGATTGCTGAGCATTTACACATTTACTTCCACTGTTGTTTCAAAGAGAGTTGAGGTTGGATTTTCCCAGAGAAGTCCTATGGTGGACAGGACTTCACAGGGAAAATTCAGCAAGTCCTGTATAAGAGATACCAGGAAGTGTTTGGAGATCTTCCTTCTGTGAAGTGGCAGGGGAGATCTGGGTTCTTGCTGCTTTGAAACTCTTGGGTGATTTCTAATTCCTCAGGGGTTAAAGGCATTTCTATAACAGTATGATAAAATTGCAGAAGAAGGTTCTCATAGGAACCTGCTACTATTTATTACACTTGTAAGAATAGAGTATGGAGTGGAATATATGTAGGTTCCTAAAAAAAAAAAAAAAAAGTCAAGTTAGAATTTGGAAATTCCAAATTTCACTGTGGAGGATTGAAGTTTTTTTTTTTCTCTCCCAAACTTGAAGAGCTGAATAACGGAGGCTGTTTTTCATACAGCAAGAAAACTGCTTGCTGCTATTGTCTGCCAGCAGAAGCAACTAATTCCTGCTAACTGGTTTAACAATATCTTCTTGAGTATGTTTTCCTCTATCTTTCAAGATTTGAAAAGTGCTCCCTAGTATATATAATAACACCCAGAAAATGTGGAATAATACCCTTTACCTTACCAGTTCTTTTTATTCTTTCTGTCTGCCAAGCATTTGCTTTTTCTCCTCCACTCTCTGCCCCCCCCACCCCCAGTGCTGCTGCAGCAAAATGCCTGCCTTTTGTTTATGTCTTCCTCCACTAGCCTTGTGACATCATCAATGATATTGCCAGGGGAAAAAATATGCATAGCTGCAGCTAACCCAGCTGTTCGTTAGCAGCACGTCTAGCCTGCTTTCATTTCTTCTCATTAATGTCTATGTGTAGTGTTTCCTGCTTAAGAGACGTGGAGGGTTCTCAGCCACCAGCCATCTGCTCAGTCGTCGTCTTCGGGCAGAGAAAAATGGTGGCATTTTAAAATACATACGTTCTTGATAATAGTATTTTTTTTATTTATTTAACAAAATGAATGTGAGATTCTAGCAGGGTTTCATCACTGGGTTGAGCAGTAGGCAGTTCTGTGTCCTTTACTTCCTGTCTTTTATAATTCAGTGCAATCACAGAGACTGCATATCAGCTGATAGAACACCTTAATAATACATGATGAGCGAGATGTGGAGAACAATAAAGAGTTTGAGAGTTTTGTCATTGATTTGCATGACGACAGTAAAGTGTGTGAATGTTTGTCATGCTTGTTCCTTCTTCCATGCAAATCAGTAGCAAAACTTCCATAGGACCAGAATAAAGCCAACAAAGTGCAACAAGCTGTCATTTATTCTAATGAGGGGGGTTTTCAAGAGAAGGAGTTGGGATTCCATTTGTGGAATGTTAATGAGAAAACAGTTTCTTTTTGCCAGCTTATGTTTTGAAAATGCTACGAATTGTTCCAGAGATAATTCACAATTTCAAAGCAGAGCTGCATCTTTGCGGTGTTATTATTAGGGTTAATTACTTTCTCGGCACCGCTTTTCAGGATGGAGATGTTCATTTGTCCTCCCTCGCTCTCTGTAGAATTTAAAACTAGAATACTCTGGTAATTTTGAGGTAGGAATTAGGCTATCTTGAAAAAATCCATGGAGCCTTGATGTTATCAATGAAAAAAAATATTTTCTTTATATATAAATGCTTCTGTAATTTTGCATGTACTTACTCACTTAGTCCTGTATAAAACCCTCGGGTAAATACTAAGCTTTGAGGCAATATATTATTTCAATTTAAAATTTGTCTAAAATAACAGACAACAAAAAGACAAAACCAGCCAACCCAAATCTGGGTGTCATCACATACAATATCAGAAGGGATCAGACTTCATTGCACTGTATAATCTGTCATTTCGGTCTGGGAATAATCCTTGCTCAAATGGCCAATTCTTATTCACCTGAATGGTTGCACTGAAACCAGCAAAACTAATTTTATGATCAGAGATAGCAGGATAATGCCCTTGGATGAGACAAATTGAAATCAAGGGGCTGCTTTTTAGGAACAGTTTTTCATTCAGAAGCTCATCCTCCACATAAAGGATAAACACCGGCAGATTAAACGTGTTGGCAAAATATTACCTCTTTAGAATATTAATGGCAGTGTGTGTGCAGTGCTGCAGACGCTGCAAGGTTTTCGCTGCTGCCCACGAGGAAAAACGACTTAAAAACTCTTTCGAATGTCTACCTGAATTTTTGTTACAAAGGGAAATAATAATTACAAATAATAATAATAAAAAGTTGAGGGGGTCTTCCATAGCAAAAAACCATGCTGCCTTCTTTAGCTCGTGAAGGCAGCAGAAGCTTTAGAATTTGTTATTCTTTCCTCATAGCAGACCTCAGCTGATGGGGGGGAAGGGGGTGGTGGAAAAAAAAAAAAAAAATCCATAGTCAGTGAGATGAGTGGCGTGCCTGGCTTCCTCCGGCAGCGCTCCCATGTGATCGCACAGGCAGCCTCAGTGAGCGAGCGGCGCCGGCAGCAGTAGGTAATGGGGCTTTGTGCGCGGCGCCGCGCTGCTCGCTGAACAATAAAGCATATGGTACCGGCACGGCGGGGCTGCGAGCCGCGGGAGGATCTGCTGCACCGGGAGGACAGGGAATATGTCAGGCGTTATAAAGTGACATCGGTCTCGGTTGGTTCCTAATTAATAAAAACAGTGCATGGATTGGAAAAACAGCGATTTGAACAGGTCAGTTTTTGGTTTTGTTTTTTTTTTACAGGTTATTCACACCCTTCAGTATTTAAAACCTAAGTGGTGGTTTTGCTGTTTCCTTATTTTTAGCGAATCCAGGTATTTTCTTGCATCGGGTGAGGCGGCTGGGAGGGCTGCACATGGTGTGATTCCAAGACATTGTGTGTGCTCGGTGACCAGATGCACCCTAACAGCGTTGTTAGTGTTATTCCTATGCAAGTCAAACTTTAATTATGCATGAAAACTGGGTTGCAAGTGAAATTAAATTTGTGCTGGATGGATCATTTACCAATATCATAAAATATTTAATAACGACAGGCTATTATTCTGCTAGGCATTCAAGACTAATTCTGTCTCGATAGGAAATGTGTAGTGTTTACGTTTGCTCTGAGGTCATATGTTGGTGGAGCATATCGGACTGCTTTGGGATTTTTCTTTCATTTTTCTCTGAGTTAAATCTGGAAGTGGTGTTTTGTGTGAGTTTTAGCACAGCTGTGTGCGCACGGGGACGATCCGCTGCCTGCCTCTGCGTTTATTCCGCTCTTGTTCCAGACAGAATGCATCTTACCGTTTTCAAGCAGGCGTCCGTCTCTCTCGGTAACTCAGGTATCTGTACATCGGTTTTACACGTTTTGAAATCCGGTGAGGCAGGGCACCGCTGTGCCACATCTCCACCTTATCCCGCCGGGCACGAGCCCTGCGCAACCCTTCCAGCCGTACGTCTCACGGCCGCGCTCCTGCAGCACTCGGCTGAGCGAGGCTGCGGCGCCGCCCGGGAGAACCGGACCCGGCCTGGGGAGAGCCGCCCAGCGAGGAGAGCGGGTAGCGGAGGAGCAAAACGCGGCACGGGGCCTCCTTTCCAGGCCGGCCGCCGCCGCCGTGCCGGGTCGGGCTTTCGACCGAGCGGCGCCTTCAGCCGTAGCCGTTTTGCCCGCCGCAGCCGCGCCGCGTTCCCGCGCCTGTGCAGGAATCGCGGCCGTCGCTTCCCTCCCGACGTCGCGGCCCTGCTTAATTAAAAAAGGCGAAGAAGAAGCGAGAGGCCCGCTCTGCCGTCGCGGAGGCGGGAGGTCAGGGGCGTGCGGATCTCCCTGGAAACCGCGGCGGCGGGCGGGCTCCCGCGGGGCGGGGCGGGGCGTGCGGGCGCTGCCGCGGGGGCCCGGACCCGCCGCCGGTGGGGGCGCTGCAGCCGTCCCGGCGGGCTGAGCCCGGCGTGCCCCGCAGCGGGGGGCGGGGCGGCTGCGGGCGGCGGGGCCTTACCTGTGCGTTCGCGGCGAGCGCCTCTCGGAGGGCTGGGCGCTGCTTCGGCGGAGGGCCTGGGCCTGCGACTCCTTGGCAGGGGCCGTGCAGTTTCTGCGCTTTTCCTTTTTAAAACAATTGGCGCTCTTAAATCCGAAGTTCCCTGCTTTCAGATATTGCTAAAATCTGTCAGTGCGCCTGTTACTGTGTTTCTCCTGTTCGAATTAATTGGGAATCAAAAACCGTACAGCTCGGCATCTGTCAGCAAACAGGCTCGTCCGCTGCAGACAATAGATCACAAAGGGCGTGTTGCAGTGGCTGCCTTGCAGCCCTTCCATCAGCCCGCAGTGCCGAGCGAGCCGCTCGCGCAGTGCCGTGTGTGCTGTGCGTATCCAGCCGGTGACACGCGCTCAACTTGTTCCTCTGAACTAAATGGAGAACATAACGTATAGTCATGCGATTATATAATTGTCGTATTTGTTCTTTAAAAGTGTGGTGGGCTTTGAGATGTACGAGGCAGTTAGGTTCTGACAGTCAGTACGTGCGTAAGTGAAACTCTAACAGCTAGTGCTGAATACCAGCAGGACCATCGGAGCCGCCTCCTCGCTGCTCTGAAGGAACCACTGATCTGACACAGGCCTGCCTTTTCCATCCGTGCACAAAGGATCAAAAAGACAGTTTTCCCGTGGACAGAATCCTCGTGGTTCAGGCATTCGTGCTCTAAAGCACTCCACGTATTGAGTTATTTAAAAAAAATTAAAGAAAAAATGGCAAGACCTCCTGAAGCAAGCAAGTGTCCTGGGCTGATGCCAAGTTATGGTAATTCTGAAACACTTTGTGATTTGAACCCCATTAGAACTATGGTCTATAAAAACATATTGCTACGGTCTGAATGCTGGATGTTGATCTCCTTTAAACATCATAAATAGAATTAAGTCTTCCTCTTGCATCCAGTGTTATGGAGAAACGTGGTTCTGCCCTCATGAATTGCTAAAATTCAGCATTGATTCTGCTGCTCCCTATTTATTCAAAAGCTGGAAAGTCCACATCTGGTGTTTAATATTTCAGTTTAGAGCACGTGTAGTACTTATCTTGTTCAGTGTCTTAGATATTTGATCTAACTTGTTTTTAGGAAAGAGGAACTTTTGCTGAAAAAACACGTTGATTTCAGTAGATGTAATAGAGGGCTAATAAGGTTTAGCATTAATTGGAGGCATTTAAGTCGTGGCGTAGGACACATAATGGAGAATATTTGGAAATTCATTCTGAAACTTAAATATGTTCTCCACAACAGCAATAAGAGGTTCTGCTCTTTAAAACTCATACTTGCTCTTAAAAGATACTTCTGCTAATTGAACCTCATGTTTAGGGTTTTTTAAGGTTTGGTTGTCTTTTTTTTTTTTTTTAAAGGCTTTCCCTTCCCCCCCCCCCCAAACAAGCAGATGGAAGTCTTGTTGAAGCAAGGCAAGTGTAATCCTTTGCAGGATCAATAAAGCCTTTAAAATATGAATGTACACATAGTCTGTCTACTAGGATCTTCATCCTAGCTCTGACCCAATTAGGATGCTGAAAAAAAATAGGTTTTATGAATGTGGCATTTTCTCAGTCAAGTATCACCAAGCACCATCACATCTTCAAAATGTTGATGTCATTTGGAGTCCTGGTAGCATGCTTTGATCACTGTTGCTTCATTGCTCTTTTGTAGGTTTTTTGACCGAGAAGGGGATTAAATGTAGCAAAGTAATGTAGAGATGCCTGCTTTAGCTGGAGAGTTGGACTTGATGATCTCTTGAGATCCCTTCTAACCCCTGTAATTCTGTGAAAACAGCAGGTAGGTCCCATCTGCAAATGCACGCAAACCAGAGAAATTTGCTTACTATTTATCTTGGATCTGTTTGATTTAGGCTTTAATTTCTCCATTTCTCCATAAGTATGGATACAATTTTCTAATGAAACCTGTGATAAGTGGAAGCTATGAATAATTGCCAACAACAGAAGTCTGGAAAACTTTTTAAGTGTATCGTTTTTACGTGTATTTCTCTGCAACAACCATCTTTCCTCTGATCTTACCCTCAAGCCCCCAGAAAGTTTGTATTTCTCAGACCTCTGTTCTCCATCATTTCATCTCTGCTTTTCACAATGAAATAGGGAAAATGGGAAAAGAAATGTGTCAGCATAAAAGTTAGGTGGAGAATCCACTTAATATGTAAGTTGTCTAAAAGCAAAATCGGGAAAAAGGAAGAGGAGCTACTTGAGGTTTTCAGATTTTTAAGTTTAAATTCAAAACCATAAACATGGATTCTTCTGAAAACTTAACACTAAAATGCATGAGGCCATGTGTGTTAGGGTTTTCTGATAATCAGCAGTCCTTCTGAAGCACCTGGAAAGGAACTAGAATGTTTACCAGCTGCAGCTCCATCATCCCCTGTAGTCTGTGGATACAATCAAGTGCTGCTTTTACGTAGGGTAAGGCTGCAGAGGAATGAGCCACCATGGTACTGGTAGCTTTCATCAGAATTCTGCCTCCTAGGGCAAGTCAAAGGAGTTTGGGGTTATTTTACTTTTACTTCATACTGGCAAATCGGTTTTATGCATAGATATAAGTAAGTCATTTTCTTCATTTTGCTGTGAATCAAGATACACAGGTCTGTGCCGAGCTCCACGCTGCTGCTGCTGTTCAGTGGCAGTACTATGTGAGTGGATCTATTCTCAAGTTAAATTTTTGTCTTTGTGTATTCAGTTACAATGTGGAGATGGAAACTGTGCAATTCTTGTGGGACCCCAAGTCCTTGCAGAGTTCCCTTTGCTTGGCTTGTAGGTCCAAAGGCTTTGTTGAACCCTTCCCTCCTCAGAGCAGCTCGAGGTAAGACTTTGTAGCTTTCCATTAAGTTGCTCAGTTGCTCAACAGTGTGGCCCCCTCACCCACTCCAAATTTCTAAGCAAACATCTTTAATAATGAAATGGGAAAGTGAAAATCACAGAATATTAAAACTTTTGTGTTAGATCCCCTGGAAAATACAGAATAATCAGAGATTTTTATAAAGCAAAATATCATAAGATATTTATATATATTTTTTTTTATATATGTGTGTATATATAGGACATGGAGTATAAGCCACATACCTTCACAGCACATACCACACACATGAGGCAGATAATTAGTTCTGTACCAGCAGAGTCACTTGGCTGTGCTGCCGAGTGGTCATAAGGTGCTTACAAGTCAAGCAGTGCCATGGCAGTGGGCTGATTGCTTGGTTTCTGTTCATTGCTGTTGTGGTGACAAATGGCTTGGGAGATATGTGGTGACACATAGAGTTCCTAGACCTGCAACTCTTCTGTCAGCCTTCTGAAGAGTTTTCAGCCTTGAGATATAGAATGAACTGAATAGGATTTTTAAACATTGTTATTATGATTCCATATCTCTTCAGCCATAGATTCCAGATTTCTCCAGTAAAGAAAGTCAGTATTCAAGTTTAATACAATTAGGATCTAATTTTAGATCAACCTCATTGTGGTCTGTAGCCTTATATATAATTCTGTGTAGCACTATACATTTCCTTCCTGTGCTGTTGTGTTGAAATGCAATGTTTTGTGCAAGTAAGGACCAAGATGTTTTTTGATTGCCAAGAATACGAAGTTACTAAGGATAAGATAGACTGTAAATGAGTATACACTTTAAAACTCCTACCTTTTGAGGTTGTCAGTCACTGAAATTGCTGGCTTCTAAGGAAGTGTTTCAGTTCATTGATTGTGTGTGTGATTGTGTGTGTTGTGCCGCTCTGTAAAAGTCAGCCATCTCATTCAGTGAGGCTGTGGTCACTAAGTCCAGGAATTTGAAATCTTTTAGTTGATCGTTTTGACCGATTTCTTAAGAAAATAGATCTAGACTGTTACGCTGTCTTTGTGCCTGTCATATTGTCCCTTTTATTTGTCATATTTTCCTTATTAGTTCTTTAACTCATTGCCTCATTTCAGCTGAGTTTGAAAGAGCAGTAGATGGTCTTCAAGTATTCTGTGAATTGGGATAGAGAAGAGAGAGACTTAGTTTACAGCAATTAAAAGAAGTTTGATCTGTGACTGAGTCTCTGATTATTAAAGCAAAAGCAACCACACAAATGAGTGCACTTCTGTTTATTTATAAACCATCTCTGAGGAGAACATCTATGAACCAAACCTCCTACCGTGCCTCAGGTGATCCGACCACAACGTGCACATCCATAAACAATCAAGCTACTTTTGTTTCACAGAACACTTTTATTTTTTAAGTCTGGAATTAAATTTACTGATATTTTCTAGCTGATAACTGAGTAAATTATTTTTGCCTTGTGCTACTTGCAGAAGAGAAGGTGAATTGTCCCCGCTACATATGTTTTAATGGCATAAGGAGTCTTAGCAACTATTGTATTGTATAAATGTATATGTATAAATATGTGGCCTACATTCAGTAATTCATTGTGTATTTTTCATTTTCATTTGTGAATTTTCACCTTCAGTGTTTATTGTTGAAATACTATTATTGCTGAAATTCTGCAGGATTTTTTAAATAAATGTACTGGGTTTTTTTGTTTGTTTATTTTGGTTTCATAGATACACCATGTATAGAGGCAAATAATAGAAACAAATATTAACTTCCTGTAATATAGATGTGAGTTTTGCAGGCCTGAATGTCTCCTTATGGCTGTCTCAAGTGTGCATTAAACCTGCAAGTAGTAATATTATATGTTGGTTGTACATTGGCTTTGATTTAGGCATGAAAGCTTGAGTTATTATAGCCATAAAGCTATTTTGGAAGATAGTTTTGAAACATCACAACCTTCCAGTAGATATTAATAATGCATATTTTCCAGTACAAATAGTTTTATTGACTCTACTCTCTGGAGAAAAAAAGATGCACTTAAACATCCTTTTACTAATTTTGTCCAAGCTTTGAATAAAGTCATGGTTGTGTGCTCATGCCATGGAGATAATATTCATTTGTTTGGTAGTAGTTGAGTATTAACTCCCCATGAGCAAAATTATTTTTGTTTTCAGGGGCCTATTTCATATATTGTCCCTCAAATATTCCTGCTAGAGAAAACAATAATTTTTCTGGTATTTCTGAGCTACTGTTTAGTTTCCAACTCTTTTTGTTTTCTTGAGCCTACTGTTAGAAATAGGTGACTGAATAATCTCTTCAAGAAGTGACTTGAGCTACTATTGGCAATAATCTGTCACCATGTTACTAATAGCTGTACCAAATATTTGGTGTTGAGAAATGCGCACAGTGCTATGAGGATATTTGAGAGTTTAACATTCAATATAAAAATAAAAACAAGATGTTAAGGGTGATTTGGTTGCTTTTAAGTCATCAGATATCTTAAACAACAACAACAAAAAAATAACAACCAACAGCACTCTGGGTTTTAAATGGTTTGTTAGTGAAGTTGGAAGGATGTGAACTGTTAGAGCTCTGTACCAGATTCTGTTTTCCCTCAGGGAAAACCTAGGGGCTGCTGGAGTCCCAGGTGTGTATCTGAGCTTTTATGGACACAGGGAAAGGTATTGCTGTGGCTGTGACAAGGCAAAAGCATGGGGTTGGTCAAAATGATCTGCCAAACTGGAATTTGAATGCTGAGTTAAGAAAAGGAAAGTTGATACAGTCTCCATTAGGGAACGTGCTGAGCATGCCTATTGTATAACAAACTGCAGCACTGCTAAAACGCAAATGGCTGCTGGCTGTGCACAGGCAGCTCTTTAATATCTCAGGATTTGGTGCATAATAAACTAAGACTATTGTTCATGCTACCTATGCTATGAATTCTTATATGCAATATTTGGTAAGGCATATTGAACATCCACATTAAATGTGTATACATAATTACATTTTATCAGGTTGTGGCAAAGGGAAACCTATGTTAGAACAGCAAAAGAATCTGCAGAGCCTCACAGTGAATAACTGGGAAATAGCATAATTTTTGCACTCATATGACCCTTTGCTGTGTATTTTTTTACATCCAAAACAATGTATATTTACACTTCAGAGACGTATATTGAAGCTCTGAATACATTTTGTACCACAGTGACTGTATTAGTGCAGTGTTCTGCTTGGCAAATCAGTTCTGCTGAGAAACTGAGTGTACTGGTACAGCTCTACTCCTGTTTATACTGGCTTGTTCAAAGGGGGCTAAGTGGGTGCCTAACCTTAGTTACGTGTTCAAATATATAGCAGGATGCATAGTTGCAGCATGATAATGGCCAGCTGCAAGGCTTGCTTGTATTTCTTTATATCTGGTTTGTTTACCATCACCTTTGTAACTGGTTCAGTCATCATGACAGCACATGGCTTTGCTGTTTGATTAAAAAGTGAAGAAAATTTGAAACCTTGCATTTCTGAATCAGCTTCCAGTTTCTGTAGGAAATGATTTTTTTTTGATTTAAGCATTTAACTCCTCATCTTTTTTTTCTCTCTGCAATTTCAGTTCTTTTCCTCAAAGTTCTAGGTATGAGGGTATGTACTTCCACAGATTTTGTTTGTTTTTACTTTTTAAAGTTTGTCTGTAGAAGAAATAACCAAAGGTAAGTCTTAACATTTTAAGTAGGCCTCAGTAACCATGACCATACATATCATGACATGTTTGTGATGTCGGAGAATCATTGTGCAAATTTTTTTTTTCTTTATCTGTTTTTTACTTTTAAAATATTTTTGACAAGTATAAACGTATATGAAGGTATGTATGAAACTTACAAAGGAGTTGAAAGAAAACAGGCAAAAACTGGGAGAAAAAAAGAAAACCCTTTGTGCTAGTTTCCAGAAGAACATATTTAGAGGTCAGAATAGCCAGCTTAATTGAT